TATAATTGAGTGTCACTCATCACAACCCCTAAGGGATGCATCTGCAAATGTTTGGTAGTATAGTAGCCAGGATATTTAGTTCTTTACTTTTATCATCACGTTAGCTTTCAGCACACTTGGAGATGAGAGGGCCTCAGTTTCTGAAAGTGGCTGATGTCTGACTGACACTTTCTTTACTGCTCTGTAAACACAGCAGCTACTGAGTTACTAATTATCTCCCTCAGACTAACAGGTGCTTGATTTGATTCCAGGTCTTTAACTGTACTGTCGGAATACAACATTACACTCCATTGACAGCTGCATTTGGGTCAAGCTCATTGTGTTTACAGGTACAAAGTCTACCCTACGGCTTTCCAATAGGCGCTTGTGTCTCAGTCCTGCCAATACAAAGAGTGTACTATTCTTCTGTGGGGCAGCTAACATTGCAAAGTGTAAAGTAGAAAACAGTTCTTTCAGTTTTAGAGCAACAGAATATTATTTTTGATTGAATCTTAAAAACAGACTGGTGTCATTCATGGCAAGGGAGAAAAATGAGTCTAACCTGTTCCCCTTGCTGAGCGTAGTCCTGATCTTCTGGGCATTTGGTGTTGGTAAAGGAGCTCGCGTAGGGATGAGGGCTGGGCTGGAAAAGCCACTCGCATTACCCTTACCACTCTGAAAAATCTCTGCTTTCTCTCTGAGGCTTCCAGAAGTGTGTATTCCGTCCAGCGTGTTATTCATATCACTCATGTGGGCCGGCTAAATCCAAGGCATCATCTGGAGCAGAGACAAGAGACGAGCTGTTGGACCGGAGTGTGCAGAGCACCGTTCGAGCAAGCTGGCTGGCGGGGCTCCTCTGCTTACAGCTCAGCAGAGAGAGAGCGCGCGCACGCACACACACACGCGCACACACACACACACACACACACGCACACACACACACACAGTCTCTCTGGCTCATCTGCTGCCCACGAGGCTGGCCCAGTGGGGCAAAACAATCCCTCCTACCCAAACCTGATCCACCACAATAAAAGATATTTTTAACACAATAACTCCCAAAACAGCCATGCACGCCCTGACACAGTAGTGTACAAATAATCTCCTAATTGATTCCGCCTTACGTCTTTTGTTAACGTCGTGCTTTAATTTCCCTGCATTTGTTTAAGTTACCTTTGCGAGCTGGAAGCAGAACATGTGCATACGAAGCACACTTACACAAAGGGGGTGTCTTTAGCTCTGTAACGAGTCCGTGTGGGCCACCAGTACTATAAAACTTTTGTCATGGACTTCGCACAGTGATCTTAATTGCACTTTAAACTCAATGCATTATTAGAAGACATGTGGTTGTACAGAGTAGCCAGCCAAGCAGATTGGTTGTGTTGTGGGCTGTCATTCAGTGACAGGCTCCATGTGGGGGATGGTTGGGATGATAACATCTTTCTGAGAGGTAATGTGTAACAGAGTCTGACCAGGGGCGGACAGGCTACTGGAGATACAGGCTAACGGGCAGCATAGGATTAAAGCAATACCTCACTACATTAACAGAAGGCACGGCTAACTTGATTACTTTGGTAGATGTGGTGCTGGTGCAGTGGTCTAACGCCAGTTGTTTTTACCTTCAGAAGCAAAAAATACAGAGTAAGGAAACAGTAAAACGTTGCATCTCAGAATGATAAAAGCTCATGAATGTCATCTTCCTGAATGCGTATCTTTAGTGCGGCTGTATTCTCAAAGGAAAAGGTTTTCAACTGGTTAACCGGTTGACTGATACAAGGACAAGGAACGCCAGGCAGCATGAGAGGGCCAGAAATAACTCATAGCCTGGAACACATTCTTTTGGTATCAGTCAATGCAAATGCTAATTACATAGGTGTACGATGAACGCCAAATCTATTTTAGGAACTTAATAATAGTGTTTCACAGAACTGTAAGACAGTTTTTAAAAAAGTTTTTAATGGTTGCACCAAGAGTTACTGCTTAGAAAGACCCGGCCGACTTACTGACAGACACGCAGGTTTAATTGTTGTAGTTATTTTACTGCATCAGTTACATTCCCTCATATGAATGACTGATGATTGATTGTCCTTGTCCACACAACATCATTCACTTGCAGCATGCAACATTGTTTCAGCCTCCTTGTTTTCTCTTTTGCACACATGCTATAACGCAATGCAGAAACTAAACAACAACAAAAAAAAAGTTGTCTGATCGTGGCAAACTTAGTTTTATTTGGATTGTTTTTGCACTGTAATGCATTTTGGCTTTACATTTTACACATTGGATTTCTTTCGATGCCTTTTTAAAAAGAAAACAATTCAATTATTAATCATTAAGTTAAATTATTTTGGCTTTGAATGATCCATATTTTAATCCATGTTTTAATATAATTTATGAAATATTTTTTTTTAGGAATTCCACCCTGTTGGTCATTGAATGACAGGAGCACTTTTGGCTAAGTGCCAAATATGACATCATGGACACAGACTAATTGGTCTAATGAGGCCCTGCGCTGCTGCCAATTACCTTTATCAGCTCCGCTTCCAGTGCCACAGCCCAACGAGTGACCCCACTTATTTAGCTGCCGTGCCAGAGTGCTGATTGCCAGGTTTGCAAGGTGTTAATAGTAAGGACAGTATTTACACTGTTATTCTGAAATACAGTTCAGATAAAAATAAATGTGGGGTAGCGACTCATCCATGCCTAATCCCTCTTCTCCAGTCTTGGAGTCATGTCAGTCAAGTCCATCCTGCAGGCCACCCCTAAGCAGAGCATGGACAATTAGATGGTGGAAACTGGATATTCCACCTTGCTATCGCAATGGTGGCCCACAACCTGCGGTGGCTGGGTGTCCCTATCACTGCTGTAACAACAAGTAAGACCTCTGTTTCAGCCAAGAGGTTAGATCTGGGGAAGATGAACAACCTTGCCTGCCTCAGGCTATGTTATGGCAGATGTTGCATAAGTGCCCTCCACCATATGGTCATTTAAAAATATCCTGGGTGCTCCACTGGTACTATAAAGTACTCATTGGAGTGTCCATTTCCCTCAGAATCCACCTTTTTCTACTGCTGGACTCCTACGTTTTCCTATCCTACCAGCTTTTGAAGAGTAAGAAAGAGATTTGCTTCCAATCTATCCCCACTATAGTTCATAACCCCAGAGCACCATGTGGCTGATGCTCTCCCAGTCTGTCCACAAAATTCTAGGGATCCCATTAGCACCTTGTCTCTTCCTGGGGATGTTCTTAATCCACAAAGATATAGCAGGAGGAGTTGCATCACTGGCTTGATGAGCCTCAGAGTGGAGGAAGATGGAACTACTCAGGGGGGCTCATGCTGCAGCATTCTTGTATGGTCATTATGGCTGTAATTGCAATTAAAAGCAGAAATGCCTGACAGTTCTTCAGTACTAGGAAGAACCGTTATTATATAGTAGGGCTTTCTGGGTGATATGCAATGTTGACATTGTCTCTGTGGCTTCAAGAGTGAAAAGTTGTGTGCTGTGGGTCCACCAATCGATCTTGAGTAGTACAACTCAAGACCTATTTGTTCACGCTAAAGAACATCATGAGTTCAAGTGAAGCCACAGCTGTCCAGTTCAGCTCCATGCACCCTGTCCATCGAATGAAATGGAAAGGTTACTACATTTGTGCACTCTTGGCGCAACGGTTGGCTTATGTGGAATGCAACAGAGTGATGCATAGCAGCTGTTGGAAACTACAGGGAGAGGGTGGTTGGATTAACACTTGTGCTGCAGCAGCTTCTTTACAGACAAAAGCCACACTAGCCCATTCATAATGCCAGACAGCAGTGGTCATGTCACTTCTCACCGCAGCAATTATTGAGTGCGTTATGAATTGCTGCTACTAGCTGCTATTTCTCACTTTAATTATTTTGTTTCTAGCATGTTGTAAAAGTTGTGGAGAAGACATTGCAATGTGGGGGGTTTTTTTCTTCCTGTTTTGAAAACAGCAGTAGTTTTGAAGCAGGCCCCTTGGCATCTAATTTAAAAAAGTTGAATCATTCTCTTTTCAATGGCATACTGCCTAAGGTCAAGATGCCCTCTTGTCACTGAAAGTACTGTTGAAACAGAGTTCAGTCAATGCCAAATTCATTTATGTCTTTGCGACTGGCAGTGGGAGCTATTGTAGAACTATGGCATAATGACAAAGAAGTGTTCATCTTCATCTTTACAGCAAACGTCAACTGGTATTCTATTACATTATGACGGTGTCGAATTCAGCACTTTGGTTGACGCTGTTACAGTGATGCATGTTACGGTATTTGGTAAGAATAATGGAGGACAGTTGGACAATGTTGACATTAAATTAGCTTTAGAAAGACGAACGTTTTTGAGTATATTCAATGCGGGGATTTCATTAGGAAACGTGTGGGAGAAAGCAAGGACTTGATAAGAACTGTTAGCTTATCATTGCTAAGATTGAGAAATGCCAAAGTCAGGGAGAAGGGGAGTTGAGGTTACGCACAGTCCCGGTGCACAAATAATTTCAAACACATCTGGGCTGTAATTAACTTAAGGTTGCATTTTGCGATAATGCTTCATAGTAATGACTGATTTCCATTACAAATCAATAATGTTCATACGAAGGTAAACATTTCACGGACGAACCTCCACGGTGCAAAATGAATCCGTCGCAGTCCTCCCTATTAGTCGAGGAAGCAGCTGCGACTAATAGCCCAACGTGGCCGTCACACCGCGCGCGTTTCTAATGTGGACTTTTTTTTTAACGCTGTTCTTACCTTGTGCCTCTTAAAGTGGAGTTCCCAATTCAAACCTGGTCTTCATATCGCTGCTCCCGTGTGGATTGAAACTCACTGTTGGCACGTATGTGTGTGACACAGGTGCTCTGCTGTAACGTGCCCTACGTCACACACACCGTGAACACGTTTTACCTGTTGTGAATAACAGGCTGTAACGGGATCCGAGTTTAAGTTTAAGGGGGAAAAAAATAACAATCTGCATCATTTGTGCACTTACTGGAGGCAATGACTTTAATAGAGACATCTGCAATGATAAAAGCTTTATTCATATCAACAATGCTTGACAGAACGTGTGCTGTGCACATCAGTGTATTTCTGGATATAGCTCAATCAAAACTCTGTAACACTTAAATATAGATTTTATGTATAATCTGAGGGGCATTTAAGTACCATAGGTCAGACATGGTCTGGTCCTACAAATCCAGTATTATTTAGATAATAGATTTCATAATAAGTTATAGAATTGTTCTCATTTAACATTCTTGTTCACACACACAACAGTCATGCATTAAATGCATGATGATCATCACACCAAATAAAACAGAAGCATTAAAATATGCAGGTCAGCGCCAGGGATGTTACTTAATGACATGCTTGAAAATAAAACAAAATACAGCAATTATTAATTATCAAAATACATAATTTACACTGTTGGAGACTACCAAAAGAGGTAAAACAAGACAGATCCTGCTTCTGTGTCATGGGATAAAGGGTTCTGGAGAACTCAAAGTAGACAGGATAATCTCCTCCTGGAAGAAAGAAAAAAAACACCAGTTCATGCATGTGTTGTGGAAACATTGTTATATCATCATATTACAATGTGTGTGTAAGATTTTGCTTACAGTAGATGATATATTGTCAGAAGAATTAAGGCACTGCTATGGACTGCTCTTTCCTTCTATATGAGCAATCCCAATAAAAGATGGTGGTTCCACCTCTACCAGCTGCAGAGTGGAGTCTTTGTCGCCATCCACCACTCTATTTTCACCATTCTGTGATGGTAAAGAGAGACACAATGTATGCAATTACCGAAGACTTACTGTGTCAGACAACATAGAGAAGCAAAGAAAAGACTGCATTGTATTGTTATACCTTTCTTTCAAAAGCATGATAAAGTTTAAAATAGCTTAAAAAAAAGATAACATGCAAAATGCTAAGTTGTTAAAGGGCTTTGGAATACAGCAAGTAGTATATATTAAACCCTGGGCTTCAAGTCAATAGGTTAGAGGAACTATTACAAGGTATTCTGCTACTTTATTTTATAGTGTTCAAGAGTCAAGAACTCACCACTAGTCACAGTGTAAATGGCTGATACAGCACCAAAATGAAGCACCACAGTTGCAAAAGTGGTTGTAGTTTTTAAACCAACTAAAGCAGTAGTGGGATAAGTCACACTCTTGTCCACTTCTAGGGAACTCTTTTAAGGGGAAAAAATGCCTTGCTCAGCAGTGCAAAGTGCTCTTCTAGTCAAGCATTAATACATAAAAATAAAAATAAAAAGCTATGACCAGCGACATTGGTCTCATGAGTAGTCATTTGCAGATTTCATCTTTATTTAGATATTTAAATCCAAGTATGCTATGCTATCACAACTCACCTTGAGCTCAGATAATCCTTCTGACTCTATGACTGATGAGCGACTTGTGCTTGGGGAGAAGTGTGGGGAAACAGGCAAGTTAGGCGACGTTGGCCCATGGGATATGGAGTGGCTCTTTCTCACCGCAGAAGACACTGCCTGGGCAAAGCGGGATGGGGTTGCAGGAGAATAGGGCCTAGGGGCTGCGAAGCTCCTTAATTTTTCCAAGCTTAACCCTATGCTTGGCTCTTTAGATGGCAAACTACTTTGCCTGGTCATTTGCATGAATGCTACATTCTTATCATCCCCTTTAGGGCTCAGCTCAACATCAGCAGCCCCTGTTGTCTCCTCTTGACACTGCACAGGAGGTGGAAAGGGAGGGGGTGGTAAATTTGCTCTCTCTGCACTTATTTGAGCCTCCCTCTGGCCAGACCCAGGACTGGCGCTGAGATTCTTTTCTGCTGCTGAGGTTACATAATGCCCAGGTTTTTTTTTGTGCTGTGCCAAACGGAAAGAACCGGGCTTAGGTTTAGTCGCAGGTGGAATTTTCATCTCCTTGACCTCTGCTGGTGAACCTGCTTGAGATGCCCCATTAGCAAAGGATGAGATCTTGTCATCGGTTTTAGGTGAACTTGTTGGTGACGAAGAATGAATGGATTCAGGTATACTTCCATTAACAGTGCCTTGGGTAGTAGTAGTGCTAGTCAGTAAGTCTTCCCTGGGTATAGTAGAGTGCAGCTCACTTTTTGCTTTTGAGACATCCGTCTGTCCCCTCGGTGCTGTGCTCTCCTCCAGCTGAAGAGACCCAATATCAAGTCCCCCTTCTGGAGCTTCAGGAGGCGTCTCCAATATAAGTGCAACTTCAAAATATCTCAGCTTCTCCAAGGATTTCTGTGGCACGATAGTATACGTTGTCATCCCCACCTTGGGGATGTAGTCCCTTGTAAGCTCGTTGGAAGGCTTGGGCTTTGGCTCAGAATTTGTGGCATAAATAGATGGTGCCTTTGTTGTGGCAGGAGCACTTGGTGTTGAGTCTTGGCATGATAAGGTCTCCGAGGTGTGGGGTAAGGCATGTTTGAGAACAGGCGAGTTCACTTCCTCCATTACAGTGGCCATATCTTTCTTTGCTGCTGATTCAAAGGCAGGTGCATTAGCTGAGGGAGGATTTTTTTCCATGTGTTGTTGTGGAGGCACAGGTGGTGGTGGGAAATCTGCTTGCACTTGAGCATCTTCTCCACTGGGGCGTGATGTGCTGGTGGCCACCGGGCTCTCCAGCCTGTCTGTCTGCTCCCAGAGGGTTACAGTGTTTGCCTGAAGAGAGGCCTGCAAATCCGCATCCTGTGACACAGGCGGAGGGAGGCTGCTTGGTACAGTGCTGCAATCACCCTCGACATTTTGAGGTGTAGACTCTTCACAGATCGGGTGTTGGCTTACATTTTCAACTGGACGTGGACCACTATCTGTACAGAAAAGAAATACATTAGTAGGTGCAAGATATCTACAGGACATATGAACAATATCACTATAATACAAGTGCAAACCCACTAGTATCTGCCAGTTCAGATGAGTCCATGCCATCAGTTGTCCTCACATCACTCAGAGTTACAGAATCATTCACTGTGCTCTGCAGTTGACTGTAAAAGTTAAGCAAAGAGAAGGAATTAAAAGCATTGCTAATACTAATGTTAAAGCATGGCTGAGGGTGGAGAAGTAATACTGGAGTTCGTACTTGCCATCTGAGGACAGATCACAAGACTGATCTTCCCCATTTCCCTCCATGGACATCGTGGCCATTATCTCAGTATCTGGGGACGGGGAATGCAACGAAACATCAGCAGACGTGTTGAGGCTGCAGTCCTCTCCCTGGGTATCACTAGCAGTTGCAGACATTACAGAAGCAGTGGTCTCCTCTTGTTCCATAATCTCCTCCAGTGTGTTAGCAGCTGCACCTCCTGTAAAACGACATCATGAAGAAGACAGGTAAAATCAATCACATTTACCGTACCTGGCATTATAAGTAAAGTTATCAGTGGTGCAGCCAACATTTAACCAATTCTTTTTTTTTTATAGGACATGTGCAGGCTGTAATGTTCAAACATATTTTTGAAATGGTATGACAATCTTTTACAAAATTGGAGAAAAATATTCAAAAGTCCCTTAACTGCTTTTAAGTTGTTGTTTTTGTTGTATTTTTCATATGCGTGAGAAAAACAAGTATCCAACTGTATTTATTCTAGTGCTCATAAACAGACATTCACCCTTTCCAATAAGATAATGTTCTACTGACTAAATCATCTTTTACATCTCAGTCTCTCTTGTCCAGTTCTTAATTTAGCACTCAAAGAAAGCACATAACAGAGGAGCAGAGAGCTAAAGGAATTTCAAGGCTACTTAAACAATACTGCAGCTTCTCACTGATCTCGGCGTCTGATCTCTACTGAGCAGCACCGGGCTGTTGGGGAAACAGCAGAGGAAATGAACTTAACTTAAGTGTTTGAAAAGTGGGAGGACGGAAATGGTGGTGTATACATGTAGACAGCAGTAGTAAACAGTCTGTGATGATTGCACTTTCTATTAATGAGGTCTGGGCGATAGAAAAGGCCGCTAGTCAAGGGACTATGGGTAATAAAGGAGTTGTGAGATTTTGTGAACAACACAGTAAAAGTAAAGAAAGTATAAAGAAAACAAGAAAAAGAAAGACCGAGATATAAAACAACAGTAATTTAAGCGTATGCAAGAACGAAAATTGCTTTAGTTATGTGGTGTGGAATATATATACAAGACACTAGTTTTTGCAATGCCTTCTCAGAATACATTTGACGGAGTGAAGTGAGTTTTGTTTGTGGTGCTGAAACTAGTTAAGAAACTCTGCAGACACACTATCCTGATTACTTGGGGAAACCTGAACCTTTCTGTTGATAGTTTTCAGAATTGTTTTACTGTGGATTGTCCACAGTAAGTAAAAATATATTGTTGTTGAAATGTAATATCAATACTGTGTGCACCACACTTTCCACTCACGACCACAACTAAATGCAGGACTAACTGCCTTTGTAAAGGCTTTGTATGTGGGAACTCATCCTGAAAAAAATAAAATAAAGATACAATCTCATTTTCAAGGCTGTATTTCTCCCATATTTTGGGATATTCTTTGTTTTTGCTTTAAATGGCTTTGTATACAGGACGGGTGGAGCTTCCCTCAAACGACAACACAGCGAGGCTCAGTTGTGTCTACACAATCACAGGAAAGTATGTCAAAGCAAGTTAATTATACTCATCCAAGGAAAAATACCATGGAAATTAGAACCTACAATGACCTGGAATGTAGCAAAAGTGTTTTCTCGTCATACATTTGTTGTGGTTTTGATTTTTTTGAATTCATTTCACAGGTATCTGAACAGGCACCTTGATTTCCAACTACTGTATATGAAATGATCTGTGCACAACATAAGAGAGATAAAAGGAGGTAAATAGAGACCAGAAAAAAGGCAGATGAAGGTCAAGAACTAAAACACTAAATTAATGAAAAAGGGCAGTATAGGAAACTAGTGCCATGCAAATTTACAAAAGAAGCAGAATCTGCAAACATTAACACAAAACTTATTTAGATTAATGATTTTTGTGCTCTAACCACCTTGTAGTTCCCATGATCCATGTATCCTAACAGGGCTGTAGTGTTTCAAATGAGCCACTGTTCAATAATGACCACTAGGAGGCACAAGAGTCATAGAAATTGTAGTCTCGGGCTGCAAAGTTAAATGTCATTGAGGCCAAAGTACACAAGACAAATCATCACAGAACAGGCTATATTTTATATTATATTTTAACGCAGCAGTGAAACAATCTATGATGAAAAAAAAAAACATAGCCGTCCCACTGAGTAATGATACAAATTCATAAATGTAAACAGAGACAAACCTTGCAAACTTTCATCCAGAGGAACTGTTTCTTGGACAACAGCACTAGGGGATGTGGGGGGTGGAGGAGCTTTGCGTTTGGTTCTCTTTAATGAAGACTCTGCTGAGGACCCACGACTTAAACCAGCCATCTATGGTACATACAAAGATGTTATATAAATCAATGTACCTGAACACAGAGATCATAAGGCTTTCATTTTACAATAACTATGCTGACACGTCAGAGCGTCTGTGTTAATATTCACCCACCTGGTCACTGTCCAGTTGGGCAGTAGGTTCAGAATGAAGTCTCCGGCGAGTGCTGAGGTCCGAGGCGCAGCTCTGGGACACCACAATTGGGGGTGGGGGTGCACGTCTCTTCTTTGGCACATCGATGGATAGTGTAGGGGAGGTGAGCGGAGACGAATTGGAGCTAGGTAAGGCCATGCTGAGAGGTCGAGGCTTGTTCACTAGCACAGGAGAAGCTGGGGCACTGGCTGTCGTTGCCTTTAAAGAACAAACATCCAATCAGAACATGATAAGAGGCCTGTTCCCAAAGAACATAGTGCACTTCAACCAATGGCAAACCAAAGTCAACAAACCTCCCCCTGAACATTTGAAGTTACCTTATGATAATCAGTATATGATAAAAAAAATACTGCATTACCTGGTTAGATTTCTTCTTGCTTTTTCTAAACTTGCTGAAGAGTCCTTTGTTTTCTTTCTCTTTCTGATTTTTATCTTTGCCTGGCGTCACTGCTCCTGAAAAAAAACACAGTTGCAAGATAACATTGGTCCCAAATATGACAGCTCTGTTAATATCAACCATGCAATTTACAAAGTGAAATACCTGCATGCGTTGGTGAGGCTGGACACACGGGGGAAGCAGGTTGTCCTGCAAAGCCAACAAGCATGAGACTTAGCACAATAACAAGTGAGCTGATGAGGTACAGTATGAAACAGTATGGTTGATTTGCTAAAATCTTATGCAGCAAGGTTTGATTCCTACCTTTAGTGTCTCTTGCATAAACTTCCCTGATTGCATAATCATTTAGAGAGCTGGACAAGTCCAAAGGGGCCAGTGATTGAACATCTCTCCACAGAACGGTAGTCTCAATGTCAAATTCACATTTCTCACAGATGGCTGGTAAGTGGTCAGCCAGGGGAACGCGAGGATTAACTCGTAGTATAGTTTTCTGGGTCTTTTTGTAGTTTATCACCATCCGAACAGTTGCCTAGGGAATAAAAAAAAAAACGTGCCACTTTGATCAAATCTGTTAACTCACCATGAAGAGCAAAAAGTTCACTGCACGCGCCAACATGGTGTCACGTCTTTAATGTACCTCGGGCATCTGAGGACCCGTCTTCTTATTTTTATCCTGCCCTTTAGGTTTAAGTATGATCTTCTCTGCATCCAAAGTTCCTATGAGAGCATTGGGCTTGAGTTTGGTGTTGTTCTTGTTGGCGGTGACCAGTTCTAAGGTGTGGCTGGATGGGTTGAGGTGATACTTTGCACAAAGCGTCACTAATAGATCCATCAGGGGTTTGCTGAAAGACATGGAGGACACGATAAAACAAAAACAAAATCATTTGTTTGGCATAAGAGGGGAGACGTGAGATGAGATCTGGTTAGGTGACAGTTACACAATGCAAAATAGAACATTATGATCAAAGCAATTTTGAAATCAAGGAAAAATTATGTATGAGTTGACACTGCAACTAGATCAATTGACTAATCAATGCAGCTCTTATTGTTTAGAGAAAATAAGACATACAGTTAAAATTTTAAAAAGCTGTGCAGAATGTGTTGAAACAATACAGAGCAAATGTACAGCAACTTACAGTAGCAACAGTAGTCGCATGGAGCTTTCTTGACACTGATAATACAGTTTGAAATTAATCCTCAAAATAAAGCGTTAACTCTGTTGTGTGGGCACTTAGAAAAGGTTTAGAGGAAGAAAAGAAGCTAAAGAATTCAGCGCTTAATCCATTCATATTGGATTGGTCTCAGTCATTTCACAAGAGGCCAAGGTGCAAAAGACACTCAGAAAGGTACATTGTGAGAACGATAATGATATCTTAAGTAAACTCTGTTTGATGGAATGACTGAACTGTGTGAGAGAGCAGACTCATAGAAGGACACACGGACCTTTTGCTAAAAACTTTGACGTACTGGTGTGTTGGGACGTTGATCTGTAGGTGGTGCGGACCTAGCTTAAGATTTGAAGAGTAAGATTTGTGTGTAATCTTATCGCACCATAGCATGCAATCAAGAGATAATATTGGGAATTTTAAATGAAAAACTTATTTAATCATGTCTTACGTCATTTGGTGAGAAGACAAGAATGAAGAAATGTAATGAATGTAATTCCCAGAACAAATATTAACTAAAACCACACATTCAACTCCACCTCTCTGACTCAGTCTGACTGGAACTGCACTTAATGTGATGACTCAATCAGACATCATGATGTTGTGTTTAAATATAATATTGAAATTGTTTAGTATGTAAAAATTCAGAACGGTGTTCAAATTGCATGACAGTGCTCCAACCGTACCTTCCATGGACTGTGGTCATTTCTTCTACTCCGCCAGGCAGAACCACAACCAGAGAGAGGTCGGTATCAATCAGGTTCTCCTTCTGGTCCATGGTTAAATGAAGGGTTCCTGGGTACCACTGGGAGAGACCTGGGGAGTCCAACTTTTTCAGTCCTGGTGGGGATGGTGCTTTGCTTTTGGTCGACACCCTGTAGTTGGACAAGAGAGTGTAAATTCTCAGAGTTGCTTCAGCATTTGTTTAATAACTATTGCTATGACACAAGCCAGAGAAATTAATACTTTTGAGATGACTGGGAATGGTTTTCCACTCACATGCATGTGTGTGCATTTATATAAAAAATAAATGTCATTGGAATTGTCTCTGCTATCTCAGACAATACTCTGATTGAAAATCAAAGTGCAGCAGACGGCATGAAAGGAATCCTTTCTTCCTCAGGTTTTAGAAAGCAGTGAGGCTATTACATGTGGGAGTTCAAGTCCACTTTGCAAACAAGTCACAAGACAACCAAGTGGACCGATTTACTCATTGAGCCTGAAGAAATGGCTGTGAATGAACAGACATGCGAGAGATAATAAGAGTTTCTTAAACTGTTGACTGGTTTTTCTTGCCTATGTTGTAGTCAAATTGATTTATAGTGAAGTGCATGTTCTTTTTAATGTAGAGGCAACACCCCCATGCATTGGTGAACATCAGTTGGTGTGCTAGGAGTTTGTTTTAAGTGTGACTAACTATACAATACACATTTCAGTTTTGAAGGGCGTTTTTGAAGAGTGTTTGTCTTGACTCAACATTCCTGGAAACTGTGTCAATACAGTGTGGGAGAGAGCAGTTGTGTGAGAGTTACAGTCTGACCAGGTATGCCACACACAAAACCAAAAGAAAAAGGAAAAAAAAAAAAATCACTGCCCAAGACATTTCATATAACACTGATTTCATTCATCCCAAGATTTTCTGTAAGCTGGCCATCAGTTGGACAATGCACAGTAAACCTGTGATGCATCAGATAATTACACCGTTGTCGCAATGCTCCTGAGAGATGGTGTATAATAAAAACCTGCTGTCTGTAAACAAAAGAAAAGAAAAGATTTGAACAGGGTTGTCATTATAAGATTTTAAGGCAAGCTGTTACACATTTAGTTTCGTGTTAACGTTCACTTGAAATGAAAAGCTGCAGATGGTATGACAACAAACCAAAGCAAACAAGTTCACTTCAAGTCAGCTAAGTTCAAACTATTGTACTGCAGTGTTATCAAGTTGTTCAGTGGGCCAAGGAATCAATAACCTTAGAGATATTCAAGTGTCACATCATTCGGTTTGCAGAGAGATGAAACAGGCATTTGCAGACCCACTGTCTTGAATTATAGCCTGTAACGTCTCTGGTGGGGGCACAAACAGAGGAATCCGAGCAATGCAAGGTCACAGGCTCCACTGAGGCACGTCTAGCAAAGGATTATTGGTCTTGCTATCGGGGCGGCTGTCCTTAAACACAGACTATGACATAAATGAAAAACACACACACACACAAACTGTTTTGATGCAGTATGTCTATGTCATACTATAGAGTCAAATTCCTTGTATGTGTTTGCATACATGGCCAATGAAGCTGATTCTGATTATAAAGTACAAAATTGCATTAGCACAACCCTACAAGCCATTTATCGTGTGCTTTCTTGTTTCAATCATGTTTGCTGAAAAGGTATTTTTTAAAGATCATGGATGGTGTCTTGTTCGTGGCTGCCAATACAATACTTTTGTAGAAACATGTCTAGCGTAGCATTGATGCTACGCTAGACATGTTTCGACAAAACATTAAATAACTTTGGAACAGTTTAGGTTCCAATAAACGGCAGGCAAGAAAATAAAACTATGTCCAGGTGTTTCTTTGTCTATGTAGGCTTTAGAGGGTTAATGTCTTTTAGGCTAGTACCATTATAGGGAATTCATTATAATAAAATCCTGATACAACTTTAATGGTGCCATTTTCTAGTCTTAAAGGAAAACTTTGCCAGTTTAGAAATGATCTATTTCCTTGTCATGTGGACGAGTAGCTACATGCATACTGTACCATATTCATGAATGATTCTGTGGTACTACAGTAGCGTGTGCTGTGATAAATAGCAAAAACCAGGGAGATAACAATGAGGACGACAAGTGATTTACAAACTACCATCACACTGTTCATGACCTGAGAAGGATCATGTTTTTTTTCCTGACAGCTGACAATACATCACACAGCTCACTAGTGAATAGTGAACAAATTTGAACAATTTCTGACACAGCCACAGTACTATCTACAATGTGGTTAAGATTTATCTCATACTTTATTGCTATTCCTAACGCAACTACATGACAGGCTTTAAAATCCATACCTGTGTCTGAGCAATGTGTACTGTTTTAACTGACAGTAAGGGTTAGCCAGACAACAGGCAGCACAATGACCTGAGGTAGCAAAAAAATAAATAAACAAGCAACAAGCAGTGGGAGACAACAGAAACAAACTTGTTTATCTGTTCATCTTTAATAATAATAGTGCCAGTAGCCAGGATGATAAAGCCACACGATCTAGCACAGACATTAACAAACAAACCCAAATAATATACTGTGAACTGTTTATGTTTGTTGATTCCGTTTGGGTGTGTGTGACAGAAACCACTTTCTTGACAAAATAAATCAAAAGAAACAAATGCAAAGTGAACCAAAGAAGAGAGTTACACTGCACGTTTCTCCCCCAGGGACCCCTGGATAAGGTTGTGGCAGCTTTTCCTAAATCCAATATATATACAACTTGGGGTTCAGTGTCTTGCTCACACTTGAGGTGTCCTGTTATAGTATTTGAGATATCCCCCAGATCTGCATTGTATAAAGTTTGCATTATACTTACAGCATTATTAATCAGATGACTAATTTGAAAGGGGTCAGGCATTGGGTGTGACCAGATGCCAGCTGCTAAGTTATGTAAAGACCTCATTCTGAGTAAGGCTGAGTGCATCCTCTGGGACTCTACTTACCATCTACAGGTTACATCTAAGCTATCGGGGCAAAGGAGCAACTCTACAAAGGTAAATAAGAACAGCAAGGTTCAGCAAGTCTTTTGTTTCTTCAGCGATTTGTTAAATGAGAGGGATAAGGTAAAACATGGGATAGGATTCAATGGTATTTTGGTCAGAGCTAGGTGGAATGGTAGATCTTATGCAATATTTGTATGGAATAATATATTTATTAGTTAAATATAATGTTGATACAGAGTTTGTTTCTCAGGGAACACATAGCCCACTCATATCAAAGTATTTATTTGTTTCTATATTAGTTTGTATGCGTGTATCAGCGTATGCTAGAGAGAGGAAAGTGCTTTATGTGTGTGTGTGTCTGTGTGTGTGTGTGTGTGTGTGTCTGCATGCACCATGTGCGTGAGTGCGTCTGTTTGAGCGCATGTCAGAGCGTGGGTGTTTGGAAATGCTCTCCCTGTGTGAGTGTGTGCATACGTGGGTGTGTGTTTGTGTGGATGGAAGTGGGGGACTGCTTATGTATATTTGTATTTATAACTGGTTTTATGAATGTTTTGTGTACTTCTGCTCCTCGACCACGAGAATTTCCATATTCAGGACAATACAGTTTACCTTGACATGGACTATCACCTACTTATGTAGCAGAGGTGTTTGAAGCTTCTTAGTAACTTTTAGCTCATTGTTTCAGTGCTATTGTCTACAAATGTATTGTATGGTTCGGTTTCACCGCTCCCATCAACCCGGTTTCCAGCAGCAGCTGCTTCTAAGCAAAGACAAGACAAAAAATATATCCACTGCTAATCCGACAGCAAACAAATTTAACTGGCTGGTGAAGACAGATGAACATATAGTAAGCAAATGCAAGACATTGTTCTAAGGAGTTGCTGGAGACCAACTAGAGTTAGAAGTGAATAATGAATTTAATATTTCTCATGTGGCAAACAAACGCCAAGAAAGGCATATCTGTATGCCGACATGTTAGCCATAACAACGTTAAAGGGGCAGGTTCTCTTGATACGTCTATTTTCAGGGCTGTCTGTGTCTATCAGCTTGTTTTGGAGTTCATCTGTTTTCAATTGGATGAAATCTCGATTGAATTTTGCTTTTCAATGTAACTGATCTGGATGACTGAAATGAAGAGCAAATGCCTCTATCTGCCTCGTCATTTCCACCGAAGAAGGAATTGTCATGACATTTGCCTGCCGATATTAATCGTCCACAGAAGATAAAAAGTTTTGATATTACCAATAAGATTTCCACTTCACACATGGAATTGTATAATATAAGAAACTGATTTCCATAACATTTGCAAAGTACACAGATGCTCCCGAGAACAGTACAATGGCGCAAAACTTTTAGCCCCCTGAATGGTCTAAAAACCACTAAATTGCCAGTATGTTGTTCATTTTATCCAAAACGATCATACTGTAGTATGGCATGTAACTCCACCACTGTAATTGTAACACTGCCACCTATAAGAATCAGCAGCGGTGCTTTTATATACTGATGTGTTGAAAAGTACACCTTCTGAACCCCAACTGGTCAGTTTAGAAGGCTGCAGAGAAGTAGGGAAGGGAGTGTTGGATTAATAATAATACACAGATTACACATTGCAGGTGTGGAACCACCATGACCATGAATGATGCCATGCACTCCCTGCACTTACGTCAATAGACTAGCTAGAAACAGACATTTACACTGTGGTCTCGTGGGTACAAAGTCCTGATTTCCCAGCTGTTTATTTGGCAATGGGATTGTAATCCTTCAGCACAGTGTCTAAAATGTTTCCATTTACGCTCTAAAACGGAGCATTGCAAGTTGATTTATACAATTGATGCAACTGCCATGTGATTCTTCTAATTAAAATGTGATTTTATTGAATCAGCTAGAATGACAAAAATACACAACAGCTGTGCCTCAGTCACAGGGTCAGCCCAGTTTATACAGCTGTGTCATCAGTGATTTTATCAAGACACCTCGAGCAGGTGACAGACACGGAGACACAGGACGGTTTGTCCGTGCCATCCAGGCCTGTGTTTTTTTTGGAAGCACTGGGTGCTGCTGAATGAGAAGAGACGTGTTGAAGCTCGACTCCGCTGATGCCTCATTCACAGGGTTTCCCCTTGGAAGTCTGACAGTCAAACAAGCCCATTCAATACCAGAGGGCATGCTTGAAAGACGT